CATGCAGTGTTACACCTTACGATCCACTGTTCATTGTATGCTGCATAAACAATGCATGAAGCTGCATTGCCTAACTGAAGGTACTAATTCTCACACAGATGCACACATGCGCGCGCACACACACACACACACACACAACACACACAACATAACACAAAATCTTTGTGTGGTCCATTAATTGTCCAATTAATGTCTATGGGCATAATCCTAATCCCAGCAATGACAGCCTTAACCCCCACCCAGCCCTAACATTAACCAGATGTAATCAAACAAAATACAAGCCATTTGGTTATTTTAGTTTTTTTGGCTGCATTCACAAATTTTATAATAAAACTGAGTTTCCCCTTGTGGGAGCAAAAGAATGTCCCCACAAAGTCAAAATATCAGGTTTTATCAGATTGTGATATATACATGGTCTCTCTCTCTCGTACTCACACACACTCCATTTTGTATTCTTCTACTGAGATTTTCACTTCCATCACGCCATAACTGCTGTTTTGTTCACATCCATTGTTAGTTGTTTTTAAATCTGTCTTACGTGCCTTGGGGCCAATATGTTGGGAAGTGCACTTTGTAAAAATAAACATAACCAAACTAAAACTGAACACAGCCAGCCTTGTGTGACTAGAGATCTATCAGTCTACTGGGGTTAGAATCATACAAATATATTTGTTTTATTTATTACGGCTTAATGCTGGCATCACTCCTTCACTGTATGAGTCCTCACACACCATGTGCTCTAATGCACAAATTTAAGCACTTTTGCTCTTTCTGTATCTAATTACTTGCTTGGTTCCCACACTCCCAGCTCTGTGCCCCGCTTCTACGCCTTCTTTCTTCATTCCTTTCTATAGATAACAGGAAATACCTCATTCCCTTAATCTGCAAACCACCTTGAATATGATTTTTTTGTGTTCTATTAATTTTTTTTAATGCAAGTGAAATAAAAAGGAAGGTTTTTTTTCCTTTGTTTTTGAAAGACGTTTTATGAGAGCCGAAATCATTTGAGCTTCTGGAGTAGTGAATTGCTGTGTAAAACGTTCATCTCATGGTTACCTCTCATGTCCAGACACAAGAGAAAAAGACAGGTTTGTAATGATGGGATGTAATGTATGTAAAAATAAGCCCATGTAATGAGGACTGGTGTCTAAAGGTTTCTAGAAGACAGGTATGTGATCATAGCTTCTTGAGGTCAGTTATATATTTGAGGAATGAATAACACCAGACAATCAAATCAAAGACTCTCTCTTTGTCTAATAAAGCATATTAACTTCAGCAGAATTTGGCAGGGATTAATTAGATGGTCCGGGAACAAGTGGACTGTCACACTTGATGATGTCTCTCTTCCAGTCACATGTGGCATTTACCTGTCATTCAGCAGCCTTTCCTGTCCTGTGAAGCAGTAGTGTTCTCACATGACCGTCAGCTCCGGGTGTCCAACATGCCAACCAAGAGTTACACCCTGACATGAGAACAACAGAACATGGGCAGCAGCGACTAACAGCAAATGTCCACCTTTGGACATGAGGATAATCTTTGAGCCACATTGTGAATATGTGTGCAGGTATTCATGTTTCTCAATATATTGTCTATCTTGGAGTAAAAGTAATCACAGCTTTTCAAAATCAAAGATTTTAGTCAAAATCATTTTAAAATTAGAACACAGGAAAAGGTTTTCATTGGTTCTTCAAAAAACACATGGAGCAAAAATCCTGAGTTTCTTTCCAGCAGTTATTACAAATCAAACCATTCCACCATGAACATTTCCTTCTGAGAAAGACCACCTTACATTAGTAACCTATGATGTGAAGCAGTACATTTCAACAAAGATATACCATGAGCATATGGCATCAGTGACAATGCATAAACACAAAGGTACAATTCAATATTTCTATTGAACCAGAGGAGCCCTGATTAGGTCACAATCAACTATAATGCAAAAGGCTCCCAAAGAAAAAAAAAACTAGAGGGCTGGATTCATCAGCTGATTTGAGATAATTAAAATAAAGCCAGCAGATACCAGAATGCTACATTTGAACAGATAAAATACAGACTCCATGCGAAAGTAGAAACATGTACAATACCAATCAAAAGTTTGGGCACACCTACTCATGGAAAGGTTTTTTTGTACTATTCTCTACATTTCAGAATAATTATAAAGACATCAAAACTATGAATAACATGTATGGAATTATGCGCTAATGAAAAATATATAAAAAAATTATTTGTTGGGGCAGGGCAGCTCTGTGGGTTGGGACTCAGAAGGTTGCTGGTTGAAATCCCTGGGTCTGCACAGTGATCCCACCACTGGGCCCTTGAGCAAGGCACTTAACCCCAATTGCTCCAGGGACTGGTTGACCCGACTGTCTCCTCTATCCCAGTTCCGTGAGGTGGCCTCCTGGGATGCTTTTCCAGCCGTCCTGAAGGAGGTTCCACACATATGCTGAGCTCTCATTGACTGCTTTTCCTTCACTCTCTGGTCAGACTCCTCCAAAACTATTTCTACTGTGTTTAGGTCAGGTGACCAGGTCACGTGATGCGACACTATCCCTCTCCTTTGTAGGTGGCTTGGCGTGTCCAAACTTTTGTGTGTTACTGTATATTAAATTATATATAATTTTTTAAAAAAAGAATCATGTTAGTTGAACTGATGCCAAATTTCAGGAAAAGAAACAAAGTCTGGATTAATGCCAGGATGTTGTATCAAACCCAAACCCATGTATTTATGGTGATGTCAGAGTTTTCTTTTTTAAGGAGTGGATCAGGTCATTTCAGAATATTTGCACTAGGCTCACCTCCAGGACTTATTTGAGCAGCCTAGCTCTGGTGATCAGAAGGGGCATATCGTACAATTTTATTCACCTCTACACAATTCTACATGGCCGGCACATCCTTACAAAGCCCTATGTAACTCTTGTTAGACATATTTGTATTTTAATTATCACTCACACAGACATTCGTTATCGTTGCTGTTTCTGTATATAATTATTGCTGTTAGCATTTTGTTTTGGCTGCATTATTGCTCTTTGTAGTCATTCTGCAGACTCGGTGCTGCGCTATTGCTCTTGACACTGCCATTGGTCTGTACACTATTGCTGTTACTAATGATTATGTAGTCTCATTGATGGACTACTGCTTTTATTGGCACAAACACAAACACACACTATCACACTGACCTTTTCTCTCATGCATGGTCTCCTATGGACACATACCAGCAAACACATTGAAAGGTTAACAAGCATGATGGACGATGCTGGATGAAGTTCTGAACATGGACCATTATCCAGTGTTTCTGATCAATTCCAAAACACAGTAAAAAAAAAGGTTGGCAACTGCCAGCAGCCAATGCTTCGTGTTCCTCAGATATGGCAACTGAGTTAACCATCAGCGCATCAGCGATCGAGATTCCCTGAATGAATAAATAAGCAGCAAATATTTTTAGAATAACAAACAGCCCACTGGAATGGCAGACCTCAATATTAGATTGCGCCCCAGTGATGTTCTCTGAAAGCCAGCAGTTCATCCCTGGGCACCCAGCAGCAAGGACTTACTTTCCAGTGCCGGACACCAAGGGGTGCGTCGCTGTGACGACACCAGGTCATTTTTCATGAGGGTTCGGATTAGATCAAGAGGATGAGAGTCTCAAACGTGTCATTGAAAATGGAGTCTATCATTGTACATTACAGAAAAATGACTGGATCAGGGAGTGGGAGCGTACAATCAGGCTTGTCAATGAGTCAGTGAACCCCTTTTTGTCTTTGTAGTATAAATAGTTCCATTCCTCTGAACAGTTTGGGACAACTTAATCCGCTTCAGTCAGAATCTGGTGTGAATGACAGTTTATGCCATATTTGCTTCACATCACAGACTTGGAATCAGATTTGGATGGTCCTCATGATCTCTTCTGAGAAATCAGCAGAAGTCCAGTAAAGATGGATGAAGTAAAATTAATGATATAAATTAAATTGTATATGAAGTAATACAGTTCTGAAACTGTCAACAAATGTCTAACACTGAAAATACACGCATTTTTGTCAGTTTCATGTAATAATTACATATTGTGGCAGTGCAAATGTGGCATTTTGTTTATATTCTACATTGTGTTAGATGATTATTTTAAAAGTGTCAGTAACTGTAGTATTTTCATATGTGTTACATGTATTGATATATAGATTATAATCTTGAATGTAAAATGTAACGATTATGAAACACACATTAGCCGTGGTGATCAGCAGCTGAAATGGACGTATACAGTGTGTGTCTCTGTGCGGCCTGCAGAGATGGAGATGGACAGGAAGGGAGAGTGAGAAAAGGCAGAGTGAAGGAGTGAAGAGCATTTTCCATTGGGTGCTGGGTCACAGTGAGCTGGGAGTCGCTATTAGTAAAAATGAGGCAGGGGCAGCCATGGATGGGATGCTTGTCCAGTGGAGGACCGACAGACACAAACACACGCGCACACACACGCACAAATTAAGAGCAGTTTAGAGATTCCAGTTCACTTAACTGCATGTCTTCGGCCTGTGGGAGGAAAATGGAGCTGGTGCTACCCACTAAGCCATGGAGAATTACTATTGTCGACGTCATCATCATCGTCATCATCATCATCATCATCGTCATCATCATCATCATCATCGTCATCATCATCATCATCGTCATCATCATCATCATCGTCGTCATCGTCATCATCGTCATCATCGTCATCATCATCATCATCATCATCGTCATCATCATGCCTTTTCTCCTTGAATAAATATGGCTTTCATCCCCTTTATTAATGGCTTCCTTTTCTCACATATAAATTCCTACTTTTTTATTGTTCCTTGATTTTTAAAAAAACGTTCTGCCCTGTCGTTATAAACACGTCTTAATGCTGTGCCATTCAATTCCTACTATGTGATGTCAGTAAAATGTCACAAATGAAAATGAATGAAGGTCATAAAGTCATGTTTCTGTGTGTGTGTGCGTGTGTGTATGAGAGAAAGAGAGAGATAAGTATAAATAATATGTAATGTAGTATAATGTGATTAATAAAATATAAAAGGAATATATGGGTTTTTAATAAATGAATATGTTTTGGCAAGACCTGATATTTCCTGTCATGTTGATAAATGGGACGTTATGGTTTAAGTCAACTGACAAAACACTACAAATGGGGACACCGGGAAGTAAAAAGAATATTTAGAGTGCAAAAGAGAAGGACAGAATTATAAAAAAAACAAACCATAAGACAATAAGAAGGAAAGAGGCCTGTGAATCCTTACAATGTCATAGCTATAATCTTGCTTTAGTACCTCATTTAAGCATCAGATTATATTGACTCAATCCAAACTTAATCACCATGATCTACTGATCCAGGGTCAGACAATGTACCTATAAAAAGGAAGAGCTGTCCTTATACAGAATTGCACCAGCAAACCCATTCCCATGCAGGATTTCTTCAGATCTGAGCGACCAGTTGCCATGGAGGACAGAGGGGTCCCGTGTATCTGGCTCCCTCAGAGCAGCCTTCAGATCAGCCTGCCCATTCACGCTGGAAGACAGACGGCTCTGCATATCTAGGTCCATCAGTGGCTAACCCTCAGGCAGGTTGAGCCAATCCCCAGATCAGACTCCGGGGAGGGGTGGGGGGGTGTTCTATGTTTTAGAAAAGTCACCGGCTCAGAATACTAGCCCATTTCTGTAAGAAAGCTGAATTATTGCATTACTTCCATTGAAAAAGAAAAGCTGTGAGGCGAGAGCACAGCTGCCTCATGCGATAATTGCTAACCCCAATTATCACTTTGGTTTTCGAAGACCTCCCCAGGCTTCAGTGGGCACTGGGTACATGCCTGCTCCTTTTACCCGGCGTATTGGGCTTTTCGCACTTGCGAGTGAATCTCCGACCTTAAACTGGCCTGTTGCAGGTCTCACCTGCATGCTGAACCTGGGCCCCATTCAGCTAGTCCAGGCGAATGTAATGACCCAGATGATGCAATTCCTAGAGGCTTAGACCCCTCTTCGGGGCATGAAACCAGAGTGATGCCAGCTATGCCACCTCAATGACTTGACATATTGTTTGCTGGCAAGAGAAAAGATTAAATAAAACACGAATGAAAGGTAGTATCAGCTGAGATAAATACAACCTCTTAATACAAAAAGGTTGGTAAAATACCCAGTTAGCACCAAGGACTAGAGAGGGGGAATCTCTTTGACTGGTTTTTATGTTGCGAAGAGTAATGAACAAATTCAGAGTGTGTTGGTTAGATTTGAAGGTGCTATAGGGTAGTATGATGATAAAAAAAAAAGAAATCAACTGCTGAATCTATGGTCACCTGGCCAGCTGGCTGGATCATGACAGCCTCTTGTATTTTTTGCAGGCTTGTGGATTCTGTCCCAGTTCCTCCTTCTGCTCCTCTGCGTGGTCACTGGACTAGGACCCTTCAGAGCATGCTGGGACACTGACAGCTCCCAGAGTTACTGTGACCGTGAGGTGTTCCTGGTTAGGGCCTCCAACCTAGAGCTTCTGGGGCTAAGAGGCATCAGCGATGGGGGGCTCTCTCCTGCCGTTCGGGGCAGAGGAGTCCAGGGTCTTGGCTGTCTTACCGGGGGGGCACTGCTCAGGCAGTTCATGTAGTGAGGGTTCATTGTACATTGCCACTGTAGGGGAAGGAGGGGAGAGGAACCTTAAGTTATTTGTTGACTTCTTATTCTTTCCTCCACTGCCACTGAATAATGGTGCTTTTCCACTGGCATAGGAACCAGGCCCTGTCTGACCTGCACCACAAAAAGAAACTAGTTACAGCACGGTTCCAGCTCTCTTTGATTTTCCACTGCAGAAGGGTAGGCTTGGTGGCATAAAACCAAAGAGGCGGTTATTTATTGTTCAGACAGTGCACATCATGATTTACTATGTGCTAATTTCCACTAGCACATCCGAGAGAATCGCCGAGTTATGTTAGCATCAAATGATAGCGTCATTAGCATTCGCTTGCATAAATTTGCATGGCACTCCATTCAGGTGTTCTATAGTAATTTTTGAAGTAGGAAAGTTTCAAGTCACTGGGAATGCATAAATTTATTTTTGCGATACTCCTAATAATGAATAATATATAGAGCATGATTTCAACCATTTTGATGGTGGTGACACAACCAGCTTGGTTTGGTCAGGCTTTCGGCCATGTTCAGCATGGATATGGCTCGGGTACGGCTCAAGCAGCTGACAGTGAAAATGTGTCATTACTTTACCTTAATACAGCTGGAAATTTACTGAAGCAATAAACAATAGTTATATATGTATAATTGCAATATTGGAAGACATTACAGTTTAAGTACCCTCTATGGAGAACGTCAGTGGTTATATACAGAGGTGCAGTAGAGATATTTGATGTGGGCTGGGTTAGGATTCAATACAGGACATACCATCAATGACTTTGGGGACAAAATGGCCGGCACGCTTGGACTTTTTGACCCGATTTCCTTTCATGACCTGGCCGTCCTTGTTGATGCCGATATACCAGGCCCGGCCAGACTGGGTCTGACGATACAGCATTGATGAGTAGGTGATGTAGTAGTTCTCAAACACACTCTCCTTGAACTTGCACTCAGATGTGAAGTGTTCCTGGCAGAGACACACACAAAAAACACATGTATGAGAAATTCAATTCCTCTAACGCCAACCCATATTTAGGATCAAATCAGGGTTGAACAGAGGTAGGTAGTCCAGGTCCAGAGAGTAAAAGTCCAGACCAAGATCTTATTTCAACCAACTAGTTGAATACTGTGTAACTGGGACTCTTTATACTCAACTGGTTGGTTGAAACAAAATCTTGGTCTGGACATTTATTCTCTGGACCTGAATTACTCCCTTCAAATACCACAGAGCCTATGCTCACCATGACCTCCAGGATCATGTGTCTTGTTCATTAATGCTGTATGTTTAATATACAAACATTCAAACAGCAGGCCAGCAGTACACTATTGTGGTTAGATACTATGGCGATGGTTATAGAGAAAGTAGGGCAGTCAGGGGGCTACAAAAAGCAGCCTGGGAATTTGCTGTCAAGTGGCCCCAATTTTATATTTTGCAGCAAACTGGGGGAGGGGGTGAGGTCTTCCTTGGTATATTTTACCAATCATGAATATACGGGCTATATAGTGCCATGGGCTATTTAATGCATTTGGGGGGGGGGCATTTGGCCCTCACAAGACCAGCCTACTGGGGAAATTCGCTATGGCGATTTACAGACAGATGTAGACTATGGTTATAGATATACAGAACGCAGACCAGAAGTACGCGGCAATAAAAACACAGACAGTATGGCAGCGGTATACTCTGTGTTAGATATAGAGATACGAATAGCACAATTCTATGATGATATACAGAAAGTAAGCTAGCTATAAGATTGTTCTTTACGTCTAAAAGCCAAAGAGACTTTATAAAAAAAACCTCTGGCTTCCTGTTACTTAAGACTCATTGGCCACGGCCTGACAATTTGCCCTGTGTGCCGAGCCGCCAAAATTAATTCCCACAAAAGGAGGAAGAAGCAATTTGCAGCTATCGTGTTCAGAATCCTGAAGCGATTGAGAACTGTTTGTCATGCGGATCTCACTGGACCACCCTTCTCCTCATATCTTCCCCTTGATAGGATAAATGTCTCAACCCTTTCTAATGTTCAGATCTATTACTTAGCATAACTTAATATGAGTCACCATACCTGAGTTTAAAACATACTGAAAGAAGTAGCAACAGGAAGGTCCTTCCTTCCATTTCAGTCTGCAACATTTTACCCAATGAAATAACTGCAGCAAAAAGCAGGAACTTAAATGTTCCATGGAGACTGTTAAGGTGAGTTTGACCTGATGCCATAGTATTACAGTGCTCTACTGCCCCGCAGTGTAAGAGAATTCTGTTAGAGAACTCTACTATAATGTTGCTATTTTTATACTTTACAATGTTATAGCACTCCACAGAATTTCTGCACTGCCTTGCAGTATTAGAGCATGTCATAGTCCTACAGAATTGCATGAAGCCATGAAGCTCATTAGCACCCTAATCCTTTATGTCAGGGTTCCCCAATTCTGGTCCAGGACAGCCAGTCTGCAAGACAGTTTGCAGATTTCCCTGCTCAAACACCTGCCAAATGTCAGGCTTAGTAGGTGTGTCTGAGCAGGTGGGGAACCCTGCTTTACATGGGACTCACACCAGCAGGGCAGGAGTGAAGCATGCTGGGAAGGCACCCTAGGTGGCAGCTATAGACTCACCTTGGTCCTGAGGCAACAGTGCTAACCGCTACACCACCGTGCCACCCCTCACCTATAACCTGCATTCAGAATGACTGTCAGTTATTGCAATGGCAACCCCATCAGTCCTCGTCAGATCTTATTCCTGTATCTTAAAATTATAAATTGCAGGCTCATAACAAATATGAGAAGAAATACCAAATCAAGGCATGTTTGTGTTCATGTACTTGTAGCTGTAGTGTTTGAGTAATGACTTCTGTAATGAGTAACGAGTGACTGTAGGTTGTGTCTGTGATTGCACAGGCCTTATGGTAAAATATGCCTCCCTTTGATCCAGTCTGCTGTTCAGTCAGTGTGTCACACACGTTTTCTCAGTGTGTTGTTGGGTCAGTGTGTCGAATCACCCCTCAATGTTGGCTGGCCACTGTAAGAAAATGGGGCATATGTGGTTCTGGTTCAGAGATCCAGAGAAAAGAGGCCAAACTCAAATGCCGCAGAATAATTTTGCAAGCACAAAGGCAGCCATACTGTTTGCATATTGTACGATGCTTGATACATACAGCATTTTTGTTGTATAAAGCCATAAATCAAAGAATAATCTCCTATGGCAAGTAGCATGAACCTACCATCAATGAAATTCTGATTTAAAAAAAAATACATCAGCTGTTTCTGTATGGCTTCCTTGATTTTTTTTCTGTAATCGCATCCTACTGGGATAACCATGGAGAACAGAGCTACAGGATCTTACTGTTGAAAGGGGTGCAAAGGAATGTCAAAGGCAGTGGATGGACCATGGAGTTCAGTGAAGACTGTCTTCAATAAGTGGAGAAAAACGGGGCATCATAGAAACGTTTCCAAGACTAGAACAACCTGCCAAAGTTGGTGGCAAGACAAGGAGCACAGTGGCCTACGGCAGCATTAGAGGAGTTGCAGGAATTTCTGGAAGGCTGTGGTTACTCCTTGTACGTGACAACAATCTCCTACATTGTGCACATCTGGGCTGTGGAGCAGAATGACAAAATGGAGGCTTGGAACAGAACTGGATTGGTCTGGTTGGGGGCCCAGTACGATAGCCATTCACAGGGTGCAAAATCTGAAGTGGTACCTTGCGTGTTTGTGGTGGTCGTACATGCACATTGATGAGTTTACACACCTACACTTTGCAAAATTATGCCATCCTTCTTTTAAAATTTTATGCACTATAAATGGCAAAGATGTTTCCACCTGTATTATCTGGGGGTGCATAATTATGCAACCAGGGTGCTATAATATATTTTTTTAAATTTTGTTCAATGCTAGGACACATTAAGGTTGGAAAAATGGAAAAATTACATCATTTGTCTTAATTTCTGGCTCTTCATCACGAAAGCCTGCGATTCCAATGAGGGTGTGTAAAAATTTTTGCATCCACTGTATGTGAGAAGTGCCCTGGGGAAGGGTGTTTAATTAGATTTTATTAAATAGAATTGAAGTGAATCAAATAGCTGAAAGATCTTTTAGGTTGGAGAACACATGCATATGCAGAATTTGGTTTTGCACTTCAGGTGTGGGACGTGTGGCTTATACCTGTAAACATGGATTACTTCATGTGTTAGTCAGTCGTTCACAGTCAGTAAAGTAGCTAAAGTGCTCAGTCTTATTTAAACAAGACGAAAGTCAGGAAACATGCTGCTAAACCAGCTTTTATGCCCGTTGTTGAAATGGTAGCATGCATGCATGGGCGTGTAGGGCCTCAGTAATGACGCCATCTATCTCTGCACTCGTACGTTATGCCTTTGCTAACTCCATAACATGACAGGTCCTCCATCTATGAGAGCCACTTTTGAATGTCATCAGGTGACTGTAATTTTGGTAACACCATTTCTATCTTCATCCATCACATAGTCGCAGTGAGAAAGGGTGAAGAATTATTATTTTTTTAAATTGTGGATAGGAAACACAATGCTCTCACACCTAGACCTGTCAATGATGTCAGACCTAAACCTCCATCTTCTTCATACTGTCATACACCCCATATTTGTAGGGCCCTTTCTCCTGGCTAGTTTAACTTCAGTATGTAGCTTCTTCTGCTGGCAGCTGCTGTGGAAATGTATGTGTGTGCAAAAGCTAGCGGATGTTGACCAGCAAAGGTTAAAAGACTACAGTCATAATATCAAAGGTGCCGTGATATTACCGAAATAATAAGCAGAGAGGAATGTAATAACAGTGCCACAGCAGTAAACCATAATGTCTATGATCATTTCCTGGATGAATGTCTGGTCTTTATCCTCTCTGTTTCCATTTCTGTTGATCACACTTATTCTTCACTGTGACAGTGAGATGCACAGAATGACCACGAATGTAGGTTAAAAAAACAATTAAACAGGAGTCAAGTCTGCCTTGCTCTGTGGTAAATGACTAAACAGCGGTCCTGCTGTGTTCACTGTCTCCCCCCCCACACACACACACACACACTTCCCACAAGGGGGTTTCCACACAGCACTCAGTCATATAAACTGGGTCAGAATGGGCCTGGCCCTATTTTTAACACAGAGCCACATTCGCAGCCTGCTCGTAGATAGCCAGACCGCACCACACTTGCCCTTCCCTGTGACGCGACAAATCACATTTGCGACAGCGCTTTGTTTACCGTCACGTTCGGTTTAATATGCACCAATGAGGTTGTCCGAAACATGTGACGTGAGGTACCTGTTTGTTGGGTGAGCTGGCTGTTCTCTGGGAGAGCTGGCTTTGGGGGAACTTATTGGCAGGGATGCCGCTAGAGATTTTGGGCCCCAATGAAAGCGTATCATATTCGGCCCCCAACCCAGACTAATCACATTTTGTTCTGAACTTTTCAAGGCCTTTGTCACTCAGGGCCCATGGAATCATCTTGACTTTCCCTCCCCTTTACAGCCCTTGCTTATGAGTAAAAGACTTGAGTTGACCAAGGGTGGTGTGATGGGACGGCACTGTAACCTCACACTCACAGTGTTCTGGATTTCTTTCCCATCTCTGGTTTTTTGTCTATAGAGTGCTTTCTTCCCTCAGTCCAAAAACGAATTACTGTAGGTGTATCTTATGATGCCCTGATGACCATTAGTGATTCAGAATGACCACATTTCTGCACTGGATGGTGAGTAGATGCAGTCCCCTACAGTGTGGTGTACTATGCAGCTAATTCAAAGTATCTTATATTTAAAGGCAAGGTGAAATCAAAATATTTACATTTTTAAAAAATATATTGAGAATAATAATCTGTATGAACCTGAACTGTGCCATGTGTCTTACAATATCGTGAGATATGGCACCGAAATGGCATCACCTGAGTTTCGGTGCATGAATGGAGAATAAATGTTATTGAATGTTTAAGGTCTTACAACTTAAAACATCCATCTATCTGTACATACATCCGTCTTTGATAACCTTTTATTCAGTACAGAGTCACTGTAATCAGTTCACCCATCCATGCATTTTCCAGCTGCTTATGTAATACAAGTACAAGGCAGGAGACCATTCTGGATGAGATATCACGCGCATTCACACACCATGGGAATTTAGAGAATTTAGATGTCACTTCGCATAACTGCACGTCTTTGGACTGCAGAAGGAATTTGGAGCACAGAGAGGAAACACGCGTGACACAGGTAGAACATGCAAGTTGCCCACAAAGCCATTGCAAAGCCCACTGATTGCTTTCGGGAATTTTGAAATAAAGTGTTCATCAGAAGGATGGGAGAAGGTTATAACCTTTGAAAGCTATAAGCCCTTCCAGAAGTGCAATGGAAATGGAAAAGGGTCACACATTCACGACACTGCCAAGATTAGACCATCCTACAAAATGAGCAAATGGATATTCATCAATGATATTTGCAAAGAGGTCACAACATGGTTTGGAGGCTCATTAGCTAAAATGGGAAACACTCCAGAGAACAATCTTATCTTCTGTACCGCACAGATCTTCTGGGTAAGTCACACCTGGAGTTTGCGGAAAGCCACCTGGCAGAGGGTTTCGAGATATGAAGTTAAATTGGAGCTCGGCAACTTGATAGTGAGGAATGCATAAAAGTTGCGTACACTAAACTACAGAACCACAAATATTCCTAATTGCAGGGAGAAAAACCCTTACATTTTAATCTGTCTTCCTCTCGCATTTCCATTCCATTCGGGATTACATAAATGGTGTTACTCATATGTGTCACAGCAGGTGAAATTTAAGTATAAACAGCAGCTTAATTTAGTCCAAAATAGCTTTATTCAAGTCACACTTAATTTTGCAGGTTTAAGGCCTCGGTTCCTCTCCTCCAAAACCTTATACTTGTCTGTCATTGTTCTCCTTCTCTCTGTCCCCCCATCCTGGTCAGCAGATTGGGGTGAAGAGCTTTTTCCCCACTTTGTGATACAAAATGTGTTTGTTGTGCAGGTGTTGGGTGTGCATATGTGTTAGTGCCTTTTAAAATAAGCTCAACAATCATGTTTTTAAGGAAGTCCAGAGCGGTCACACTTCATTGTCTTTTTCTTCCCGTTATCTTGAGATCACAACGTACACTCACCTAAAGGATTATTAGGAACATCATACTAATACGGTGTTTGACCCCCTTTCGCCTTCAGAACTGCCTTAATTCTACGTGGCATTAATTCAACAAGGTGCTGAAAGCATTCTTTAGAAATGTTGGCCCATATTGATAGGATAGCATCTTGCAGTTGATGGACATTTGTGGGATGCACATCCAGGGCATGAAGCTCCCGTTCCACCACATCCCAAAGATGCTCTATTGGGTTGAGATCTGGTGACTGTGGGGGCCATTTTAGTACAGTGAACTCATTGTCATGTTCAAGAAACCAATTTGAAATGATTCGAGCTTTGTGACATGGTGCATTATCCTGCTGGAAGTAGCCATCAGAGGATGGGTACATGGTGGTCATAAAGGGATGGACATGGTCAGAAACAATGCTCAGGTAGGCCGTGGCATTTAAACGATGCCCAATTGGCACTAAGGGGCCTAAAGTGTGCCAAGAAAACATCCACCACACCATTACACCACCACCACCAGCCTGCACAGTGGTAACAAGGCATGATGGATCCATGTTCTCATTCTGTTTACGCCAAATTCTGACTCTACCATTTGAATGTCTCAACAGAAATCGAGACTCATCAGACCAGGCAACATTTTTCCAGTCTTCAACTGTCCAATTTTGGTGAGCTCGTGCAAATTGTAGCCTCTTTTTCCTATTTGTAGTGGAGATGAGTGGTACCCGGTGGGGTCTTCTGCTGTTGTAGCCCATCCGCCTCAAGGTTGTGCGTGTTGTGGCTTCACAAATGCTTTGCTGCATACCTCGGTTGTAACGAGTGGTTATTTCAGTCAAAATTGCTCTTCTATCAGCTTGAATCAGTCGGCCCATTCTCCTCTGACCTCTAGCATCAACAAGGCATTTTCGCCCACAGGACTGCCGCATACTGGATGTTTTTCCCTTTGCAAACCATTCTTTGTAAACCCTAGAAATAGTTGCCCCATTGTAAGTGAAGCAATCCTCCCAGCAGATTGTGAAATACTCAGACCGGCCCGTCAGGCACCAACAACCATGCCACGCTCAAAATTGCTTAAATCACCTTTCTTTCCCATTCTGACATTCAGTTTGGAGTTCAGGAGATTGTCTTGACCAGGACCACACCCCTAAATGCATTGAAGCAACTGCCATGTGATTGGTGGATTAGATAATTGCATTAATGAGAAATTGAACAGGTGTTCCTAATAATCCTTTAGGTGAGTGTATTTCTCACATGACCTCAATATAAAAATTGTTGCGATCTTGAGATAACACCTTTTGTTATCACGATATCATGAATTCATTTTCTTGTGATCTCCAGATAACTTTTATAATGTTGAGATCAATAAAAGAATAAAATAAGTTGTGATTTCAAGATAAAAATAATAATAATAATAATGATGTTGTGTGTCCTCACTTCTGTATGTTTTTCAGAAATGATTTACAGATTATTAGTCATTCTGTTAGCTGAACTGGCTTGAAAAAAAGTGCATACACCTGCCTTAAATGGGGAAAAAAATCTCCCCAGGGATCATGCCCACTGACCCTTAAGGTGTCTAGTGTTTAGTTTTTTTGTACAGGTGCTAAGTATGCATGTGCAGTACCCTTGTGTGTGAATACTGTTGTAAGCAGACTGCAGTGATGTTGAACCGCTTGAGGACATTTTGGTATCAGACAGCTTTAAGTTTGACTGTGTCTGTCTGCCCCCAGTTCAGATGATCACATGGTTCACCAGCTGGGATAGCTAGTCCTCACTGTTCATGGGCAGGTACACCCCTGCTTGGGGACTTACTGAGGTGTAGAGGTAGCCTTCACCATTCATAGCCAGGTACAGTCCTGTCTTGGTACCCTGGATGGCCACAATCCTCAGGCCCACAGGAATCACGTTGAACTGTGCTGCCAAGAAGAAAAAGAAAGCCAGAAAGCAAGAAGTATGTAGTATGTGTTATGTAGTACGTAGCATGCAGCATGTATTATGTAGCATGTAGTATGCAGTATGTATTATGTAGTATGCAGTATGTATTATGTTGATCTTTGGACTACAGGTCTGAGAACAAATATTTGATTGATCTAATTGCCTGTCATGACACAGGGGTTGATTTGGCTGGATTAAGAGGCCTCTGTTTTTACTGCCTCTCTTTGTATTATGGAGCTTATTAGTGCAGAACACCTCTGAATACAGTTTGGTGCCACTCTCTGCCTTCAACACTGTTGAACTGAACTGAATTAAACTGATTTGAAGGGGACTTTGAGACAGAGAGAGAGAAACATGGACAGACAGACACAGAGAGGCCCATTTGTCACCCAGCTTTAAGGTAATTAGTGGGACAATGGCAAACACATATTTAAAGCTTTACACGGGCATAAATATGAAGGGGGCATCACACACTGTCATGCCCAAAATGGTTGTGATCTAGCAGTAGATGACATAATATGGAACTAGCTAGTAGCTTAAGACTCTCCATATCTGTGCTCCATTCTGTTAGATAAATGTATAAAAACTAAAAGTATTTAGGTCTCAAAACACACAATCCACAATTACAGTAAATTATATTACAGTACAATACAGTATATTATACCCATAACAGACAATGATAAATGTCTTTCTTAGTACTGCATTTAACTGCACCATTACAGAAATAATCTCTTACGATCATTCACTGCCTTGTTGATATATCTCCAGTTGGGTGCCCATTTAGTGCCTGTATATCTGTTTTAAAGAGTATTGACCCTGAGAGAGGCAGACATATGGACAAACTGACAGCCTGAGACACTGGGTCTTTCCAAGCATGTAAAGACCATACTTTGATCTTGACAAGACCAGTCTTGCTGACTTGCCTCCATATAATAAACTTGAGGAGCATGGGATTGGTCTCTTTTGGTTAGGATGCAACCAATGTATCCTTGATATTTGAGCCTGGGTAAGAACAATATTCGGGGATTTTTTATTGTCCTCTGTACTTCTGTTTTTGAGTGTTGGAATTGTACTTCAGCAATTGAATATGATGCAAAATGGGTACATGAGAATTCAAGTACAGTCAAGTATGCATATTGAAAAACACCCACAGACAAGCAGGGAAACAGACTTACAGAAGCAGCTACTCTCGTCCCGTGTGCCATCCATCGTGCCATCAGGTAGCATCTGGAGGTAAAAGCCATACTGGCAGTAGAGACGAGTCACGATGCCTTTGAGCTGGGGTTCTGGAGAAGGAAGGGCATCAGTTAAAAACGTTGCTTCTGAAGATATCCCAGCTCATAGTTGCCCCATTGTAAGTGAAGCAATCCTCCAGCAGTTCCTCACCACTGATTGGTGCTATCATCAATGTCATTGTAGCCAGAGAAATCGAAAGACAGGAATTCTGTCGGCCAACAGGGCTGTAATCTTGACAGATATATGGTGAGCAAAGCCTCCCAGGGTTACCCACAGTATGCAGGAGGAGCAAAAAGAAGTTTGAATGTTTTATGAATAGGGTTCTGCTTGCCAGCTTCATTCATTTAGAGAATGTCTTTTGTTTACTCAGCAGCCAAAAAGCTGTTAATATGAGTTCCCTGGAGTTTGTGTCCCTGGTCTAAGGACACATAAATTTTGTTCAAGGTGGCAGGAGAAACCCACAGGGCTAGCTCACGTCCAGGGCCAGCTACGAACAGGACACTTATCGTGGAGGAGGAACATGATAAAGACTGGGAGGATTGTCAGAGATGCTGTCACTGTAGGGACACTATCAAGTTTAAGGATGAATCGGGATCGAGCATCAGGATTCTGCTCAGGAGTCTGCTAAGTACAACAGAGAGAAATACTCCTTTGACTCCTGTAAGACCCCTGCTTAGACTCTGTCTGTACCAGCATCAATGGTCAAGAGTAGCTTGTGCTTGCTGTCAGTAGTTTCTGCTTCTAGTATCATCTGTCAGTGCAGTTTGTAGTATCAGTTTAAGGATGTGCAGTCAGTGTTGACTTGACATACACGAGTATGTACTTCCTCCCCAGGCTGCTTAGATGTGACTCTGGGTGTTTTCCTGGGAGGTGAGAGATGTGTATCGACCTTGGCCTTATTTAGGCCTCATTTGATACATGCGCCCCCCTCCCTCCTGCCCATCACCACCTTTTTCAAAGTCTTGACTAAATGTTCTTGAACTCCTGTCACGGGCAGCACTGAGACACGCAGCAGAAAATCAACAAATTGATCTCGGCGGCCGAATCTCCAACATGCATCATTTTTCTAAGCTCACATTCAAATGTGCACATTCCTGAAGGAGAGGGGCATTCTGGGTGAACGGAGCTCCAAATATTTCATTACAGGAACCCTGAGAGCTCCTAGCTAGTGAGTGCACATATGAATATACTCCCCCACAGTCACGCACGCATGCTCTTGCTTGCAGTATATTGAAAAACGTATATACTATCGAAATGGAGGCCAGAACTGGGTAGCTGCTGGAAGAGGTGCTGGTTTGGCCAACAGGGGGCACCATCCTGTCGTCTGTGTAGGTCTCAGTGCCCCAGTGCAGTGCTCTGGACACTGTGCTGTAAAAATAGTGCCGTCCTTCGGATGAGACGTAAAGGTCCGGACTCTCTGAGGTCATAAAAGACCCCTGGAAATCTGTTGAAGGAGTAGAGGTGGTACCCCGATGCCCTGGTTGAAATCGCCCATTGTGGCTCTTTCAAATCCAGCCTCCTAATCATGTCCTATATCTAACTGGTGTATTCTCTCCTGCCCCATCACCATCTTGGCTGCTGTGTGGTGAGCGTACTGCTGCCGAATGGCAGCTGCCACATCATCCAGGTGGGGGCTACACAGTCGTGGTTGAAGTGGCTCCTCATTGGTCCTGTAAAGTGCTTTTGGTGTCTTACATAAACGTAACATTCATTCATGTTTAAGAAGAAGACTGGGAATGTGGGAAAGGCGGAGAGAGAAAAATCAAAGCGGAGGAAAATTGGTAAGATTTGTGCTGAGAAAGAGATGGAGAGACAAACTAAGGGAGTATTTATGCTTCCGATCCAAGCTATGAGAAGGAGTATGAGAGAGGACAGTACGGGATAAAAAGTAATGAAGGAGGACAGGATGGGATGTAAAGGAATGAAAGAAGATGGGATGAGAAAAAAACTGGAGAGGGCAATAAAGGAAAGAGCATGATTTATTCATTCTCTTTGTCGTATCTACACAAGGGATCAAGTCTGAACGCAGAGGGTAGATCAGAAAAAGGAAGTAAAGAGGACAGGTTGGGAGAAAAAAGCAGAGCAAAAGAGAGGGCGGATAAAGGGAAGAACGTAATTCATTTGCTCATGGAGTCATAACCCTGCAAGGCGTCTGGGCTGCACACAGAGGGCAGATCAGTTTGCACTGCTCCTGCCCTTCATTTACACCCATCTAAGGCCAGGGGATGATGAAACTGAGCTCCACTGAGCTTCCTCTCTCTCTCACACCCCCACACATCAAATAAAAAGATAACCGCTACTCAAATATGCAATGAATTTATACCTCTCTGCCAAATTCATTAACACAATCGGTGTCCGCTCCCCACTTCCTGTTTCTGTAATGATTTTTTTCTGTAAACTCACTTTGTGTGTGTGAGTAATGTCTGCACCTTATTGTCTGTATTCACCCAACTCTCTCTTCTTGTATCTGTCAATCTTGATCTCAACATATTAGAGCAGTGTTTCCCAACCCAGTCCTCAGGGACCCACAGTCGGTTCATGTTTTTGCTCCCCTCCAAGCTTCCTGCCAGACAGTTCACATTTTTGCTCCCTCCCAGCTCCCAGTTGGGAGCAAAAATATAGACTGTCTGTGGGTCCCTGAGGACTGGATTGAGAAACACTGTATTAGAGAGAATTATTGCCACCAAAGGATGGATGGATGGATGGACGTAGCAATTTGTAGGACCCACTCGCCACGATAACAGCACTCTGCTCCAGTCTGCTGGATGAGATGGAAGAACAGAATGGATCAGAAACCACGCCCTCATAAAAATCTCTCTAGATGTTTTGGAGTTCTTTGACTTCACTTGTCAATTCTCCTCTTCAGCTCGCCCCGCACAGTTACAATGGGATTTATATCAGGTGATTGGAATGACCATTGATTCTGTGTTCAATGAACCTCTTTCGCAAAAAAAAAAATTAGTGTTGTTTCATCTCGTCACAAAACTCAATAAAATTTGGCAAACCCCAGCCAGTTGTGTGGTTTGATATTTTGGAGATTTGATAACCTCAGAATGAAATCAAGTGCTACAATTGTCCAGCTGTGTTCCTTGAAAACAGTTTTGCCTCTTGAACCATCCTTCTCACTGCGCATGAAGGCAAAACAGGTTTGTGTTCACTTCCAGGCAGATTAATCACAGCTGCAGATGTTCGAGACCTGTTAATTATTACTTTAATAGTGGAAATGAGGATTCTCGAAGTGTGCAGCTATTTTTATAGCCTTTGCCAGATTTATGTAGGTCAACAACCTTTGGTCTAATTTCATTTATGTATTCTGCAGTCTTACCCATGTTGATAGATGACTAAAGGGGTCTGGCCTGCACCTCATATTTATACCCCAGGGGAACAGGAAGTCGTACATCACCGCCTAAGATTTCATAAAAATACAGACGTGCTTGTAAAAAGTATAATATATTTTTATTAATTAAAATTTGTTCATGGGAATGTTTCAAGGTGCCAGTAATTGTGACATTACAATTATATGTTTTGATAATAAAAAATAGGATTTGTTTTCTTATATTTACATTTACCTCAGTGAAAGGTTAGATTTCTCTCATAATATGAGTGCAAGAGCAGGCTATTGGACAATAGAGACATTTTCCTCTTTTTGTCATTTTTGCCAAGGGTGGCAATAATTCTGGCGGGAAGCATATGACCTGTGTATGTAAGCACTGTCCTTCTAAGGCAGTCCCAGGGAGTTCAGCTTTATACCTGGGGTGCCGAGCAGTGAAGCACAAAAATGTGCCGTTTCTGAGGGGCTCTGAGCCGCTGGGCTGCTGGGTGTCCCTCACTGCCTCAGCACTGAAGTGCTGAGCTGGCCCTCTCTCTCTCTCTCTCTCTTGTTCCCTTTCTTCTCACTTTCATTTGTCTCCTCTATGTTTTTCTCTCTCTCCTTCTCTATTACCCAGTCTCTCTGCTCCTTTCCTTCACTCTCCTTCAGCAGTGACACATTGGTCCTAATGATAATTAGAGCATTCCAGAAAGATCTCTCATCCTATAAGAAAAGAAAAATGTAATCAACAGAAATTTGACGGAAAGCCAAGGAGAAATAAGGCTGTTTTATTTCTCTCCTTTTATCGTTTCCCCCTCTCTGATTGGAGGAGCTCCTCTGTTACTGTAGCTAAATAGAGTTTATTAGTGTGATGTTGGGAGCCTGTTTACCGATAATGTGACATTGCGTTTAATCCAAAGCTTGTCATCACGTATTGCTCACCTCAATGCGCATGATCTGCAAACGATTGCACTTGCTACATGTTACATTCTGTTACACCCAGACATCCCTAATTATTTACTGTATGCCAGAAACAATTCTCCTGCAAAATTCTGGCTCTTAACCCTTTGTTGGCCATAAGGAGGGGGACTCTGCTCATCAGTAATCTCACACATCGGTACCCTGTAATTAGTCTCTTTAGCTCGTGGCTCTTCCTGTGTTTTTTTCAGCCATAAATTAGCCTTGAGGAGGAGGTGTTTTTTAAGCATTACGCTTTCTCTAATTACACCCACTGTTGAGAGTCACTGCGCAGGAATGATGCAGTGATTGAGGCATGCAGGTGCTGATAACGAGCAAAGAGGCCAGTTTCTTCTACCCGATCTAGTAGATCACAGGTCTCAGACTCCAGTCCTGGGGGGCCGGAGCCCTGCACATTTTTTGGTTTCCCCTCGTTTAACACACTTGATTGAACTTCATGTGCTAATTACCACATAGCTGTTGAGCTGAATCGTTTGTGGTGGAACAGGGAAAGAACTATGCTAAAGAGGGCTGCGGCCCCCCCAGGGCTGCAGTTTGACACCCCTGTAGTACAGTAGATGTTTTTTATCCAAAGTAACATACAAGTGAGAATAAAAGAGCCGGATCTATCAGTGTTCCTGGAGGGCTTCATGTTAAGGGCCTCACTGAAGGTCCAGTGGTGACATTACCGGCCATGTCATTTGAACTCACAGCTTTGCAGATACGGACACACACCCATAAGTGACGGAGCTGCACACCACCCCTCTGATGGATCAGCAGAAG